TAGTATCAAGCGTTTAAAATTATCATAAAAAATACATACCTACTAAATAAAAATTTAAATATAACATTTATTTACACATAAAGTGTTTGTTTTAAACGATCATTATAATTAATTTTTGATTTTATTTAAAGCCTTCATGTAAAGAAAAATTCTTAAAAAAAGTACAAAAATTAAATGTTATTTGTAACGTAATGATTTTTTTATTGCATTTAAATTGTTAAAACATCAAAACAGCCATCGTCAAATTGCAAAAAAAAAAAAGCATTTTTAAAATATAAAACTATTTTATTAAAATAGTTTTATATTTTAAAAAAAATCTGTGATGAAATATTCTAAATAATAAGGAAAGAAACTTCACTAGACTAATATTAAGTAAACTAAATAACATGGCTCAGATTTCAATTGCATAACTCGGTTTGGTAAAACCGTAAAAATTGTTTTTTAAGAATTTGATCGGACACTTTCTGACCCAAGTTTTGATCAAACGTTTCATTCGGGACTTTATAAAAAATTTAATTGATGTGTTGATATATATATATATATATATATATATATATATATATATATATATATATATATATATATATATATATATATATATATATATATGATGCCGCATTTAAGAAACAAATAGGCAATGTAAAATAAGTAACATACTGTAAATTTAATTGAGAAATTAGTTTTCAGAAGCATCTTTATGTTTTTAAATAGGTGCATTCATATTAAGTATTTACATGAAAGATATAGTTATATTTGTAAACACACCCCTTTTAAAATTTTTTAAAAAATTTGATTTAAATTGATATTTTTCAAATGGTTTAAACCATGGTTAAAACCATGGTTAAAACCATTTGGTTTGAATCTATCAACCCTGTAAATAACTAAAAATATTAAAATCAAAAAAAAAAAAAAAAACAGTTAAATGGGATATTTTGAGATAATAATTTTTAGACATGTTTTGTTCTTATTTCAGCATTTTAAGTAAATTTATTAAATTCTGCATCAAAAAAGCAATATAAATGTTTATTGTCATAATTTACCTTTTGATGACATTTTATAAAAACGTTTTTTCAAAATGTCATGAAAACCAAGTTATTTTTGGAAAACCAGGTCAATAATAAAATTGAAATATCTCAGAAACTATTCAACATTTAAACTTTTATTTGTAACATGCAACAGCCAAAGAAGTTTGAATCAAATATGAGGACCCATAGTTCAAAATTTCCTAAATTTTAGGCGATTTGATGTTAAAACATCAAATCAATTAAAATTTAAAAATAACAAAATAAATTGTTTTGACAAAAAAAAAAGAGTCAGGTTTTAAATTAAGTAATTCAAATAAAAACAACAGAAATTTTTATTTTAATGTATAATGAAAAATTCTCACATAAAAAAGAACATTGTATAATTTTTTTATTAAAAATATATTGACTTTTACAATGAGCCTTCCTTATAATTTATTTGACTTTATAATAATATAAGTCACACAAAGTATTGTAAAAGCACAAATAGTGTAATGCATAAAGAGTTATATGTAAAAAATAGGTTAAAATTTAGTATAAAATTGATTTTTCAAAATATATATATATATTAAAAAGTAGTCTATATAATCTACTATATAATATAATCTTTATAATCTACTTTTCAATATTTTTATTTCCGTTAACTGAGTCAATTAAATTGATTATTGTTGATTGGCAACTTTTAAATAATTATTTTAAGCACTGTATTGCTAAGAAGTATGAAATAATTATTTTAAGCACTGTATTGCAAAGTGTCTGTGAAAAATTTTTCAGCTAAAGATTGATGTGCAAAATTTTAATAAAGGTTTACTGTTATACAATTACTTTGTTTAAGCAAATGTGTATATAATTTAGTAAATTTAAAATCTTTTTATTAAAGGTGGTCTGGTTCAAAGATGTGTTGTAATACATAGAGATGAAAATGGATATGGTTTAACAGTTAGTGGTGATAATCCAGTATACGTTCAGTCCATTAAAGAAAGTATGATAAAATTTTCTGCATAATTTTTAATCTTTGTTATGTAGTTTTATGTCATGTATTTATGTCTTTTTTAAAATCAAATGTTTTATTTTTCTCTTTTTAGATGGAGCTGCTGCTAATGCTGGGGTGCAAGTGGATGACCAAATAATAAAGGTAACGTGTTAACACTTTTTATTGAAGACCATTCTAAATAAATTCACTGTCTTAAAATATTTTTATCTTGATCACTGACAATAGAGTAATTTTTACCATAAATATAAGTTATGAGTAATTCTGTAAAATGGAATTTGGAAATTTTACGTTTATATTAGCTGAATTTAGACCACAATTAGCTATTTTGATAAAGATTTTGAAAAAAATATTAGAACATGAACACATTCAAAATAAATAAAATTATAAATAAATGTAAAATTACAAATAAATTATAAATAATGGCTCACAAAAATCCTGATAAAGTGATATGTAAATTAACAGGAAAAACATTACTAGAGTCAGAATTACTAACTTTAAGAGATGTTCTATCATATGGTCTCTTTCTTAACTTTAAGAGATGTTCTATCATATGGTCTCTTTATTAAGAGATGTTCTATCATATGGTCTCTTTCTTAAGAGATGTTCTATCATATGGTCTCTTTCTTAAGAGATGTTCTATCATATGGTCTCTTTCTTAAAACAAATTTAAAATTGTGATCTTTAGTAGTTTATTTAAAAAACTTTTATTATTATATATGAATTACTTTAAGTTATCCCTAAAAAAAAGGAAAGAGAAAGAATCATTAATGAATTGAAGAAGTCGTGGCATTAGATAGGGGAACTTCTAAACAAGTCTCTAATCATAAAAAGATCTTAGATGTTTTATGGTGAAATGTGTAAATATTTAATAAAATTATGAAATGAACCAAACTGTGTTGGCTGCAACCAGAATCTTTGAAAATATTTAATTTAATTCCCGTTAGTGAGCCTTAAAATCACAGTCAGTAACTTTAAAAATTGAGGTGTGTTTTTGTTTTAATGCTTTCACTGAGCACTTTTTGCATTACACTTTTAGAAACAATTTATATTAACACCAGAATAAATCAAAAAGATCTAAACATGGTATGAAGTTAAAATCAGATAGTTTTAACAATGGTTATAAAGACAATATTTATTCACCAAATCTCTAATATTTATTCAACAAACAATCTCTAAATATCTTAAATGTAAATCATATTGCTTTGTCAGCATTAAGATTTGGTATAAGTAACAGAGCAGTTTCATCTAGAGTAATGTACTTAACATTAAAAACAACCAGGGATGCAGGTTTTTTTAAAGATAGCATTCATCATACAAATCTTGATCCTGATCTTGATTAATCAAAGCAAATAGTAATAGTAGTAATGCAGGCAAATAGTAATAGTAAAGAGAAGCATAAAAATGAAGTTAAAGCAAAGGATGTATAATCTTTGAAGTTTGAAAAGACCAAAACAGTTGTATATGGTGAAGATGGAAAATATCACCAAAACAGTTGAAGATGGTGAAAATGGAAAATATCACCAAAACAGTTGTATAAGGTGAAGATGGAAAATATCACCAAATCACATATTTTAATTAGGAGATCAAAGAAGATCATTATTGTTTCTGTTGTTTTGTTTCATGTTTTATTTTTATTCATTTAATTTTGAATTTTATAACTTTTATTATTTAAATTTACTAAAATTAGATTTATTAAACTTAATGTTAAATTTAATTAAAAGGAAAGACAATAGATTGGAAGGGTGGAGTCATTCAATATTTAGAAAAGAAACTAGGATTCAAGTCTGGACTGTTTTTTTTTTTTACATACCAACAAGTTGCTACTCAGACATTTAATGTCAGCTTTGAATGAAAAAACTTTATCGGACAATAGATAAAGCAGGAAGCATTGAAAACTTGTTAACAAAGCAACATTTCTTCTTACTGTCAAATAGATCACTCAGTTTAATATAGCTGTTTTATGCTGATTCATTTTGAGATGGAGGTTTTCTGTCAGTCTGAAGATATCTAGTTTCCAATTTTTTTTTTTTTAGTTGATAAAAATGTTTATCAATTCCTTGAAAATTTAAACAGAGTCACTTATTTTTGTTTGATCTCTTTTCAACTTATATAGAGCAAGTCCAATTGGTTTTAATTTTACCCTGGCAATAGCATCAGGTGTTTTCCCTGATGATTTAAAGGAGACTCAGATTGGTATACAATCAAGCAAAATAGTTAAATCTTGCGATTAGACTACTTTGAATCTGGTCTACACAACTTGAAATTATTAGCAGAGTTTATTATGGGAGTTGATTCTTTACATTTACATATACATATATACATAGTTTAGCAAATAAATACAAAGTTTTAGGTTTTTGTTGTTAAAAACTATAATTTAAATTTGAAATTTCTTAAACAGTTAGCTTTGGTTAAAAACTAGAAGAAACCTGTGCATGATATTGTATTAGCATATGTCTGCTTAGAATGCGCAGATTAAATGTATTCTTTAGACAATTATCTGTTTATTTTCAGTTGATGCATGTTCACTCCATGTATATTCTCCCTAGATAATTAGTCGATGTATGTACACTCCCTGCATGTTCTCCATAGAAAGTCAGTCAATGTATGTACGCTCCGCTCTGCTAATTTTAATAATAAAAACCCATTTTTTTTTAAACAAAAACAACAAAAACAGTAAAAAAATTCTATACAGTTTTTATAGAAAAAAAAGAAAAAAAGCAAATAATAATGAGAAAAAAAAAGATTGCAGCCCCAAATTAAACCCATAGTCAATGTAGCATATTCAATAACCAATTGGTGTATGAACCCTCACAACTACCTTTTTCAGTCTGGCACATTGCCTTGCTAAATATGTAATATTTTATATATAAACACACACACATACACACACAATCCTAGATGAATTAATTTCCTTTTTTTTTTTTAGGTAAATGGTATGGTTGTATCACAGTCAAATCATCTTGAAGTTGTTAGCTTAATTAGAAGTATGTTTTTGTTATATTTGTAGTATATACTAATTTTTTTCACAAACTGTTTAAAACAGTCTTATATAAAAATAAAAAATAAAAACAAATTTAATTTAAGCAAATTAAAAAACTGCATTTTTTAATTTGCTTAAATTTTTGATAAAAAGCAAAAAACAAGAAATCTATAAATAATAATCTTAACAAGGATCATCTAAACGTTAAATTTTATTTGGTCAATAATATAAGGTAATTCTATTGTAAGAAATTATGCATCAGAAATATTTTTATAAAAAATAATTTTAACAATTTACAACAATGATTTTTATTTAAAATTTACATGTTGAAAATATTTTAAATTGAATATCCATCAGTATATTCAAATTAAATTGTTTGAAAAAATTCAAGTATATTTATTAAAGCTGTTTTAGTTAATCTGACAGATTTTTTTATTGTTTTAATTTAAAATGGTTTTTAATAAATTAATTATTATTCTCATGATATAATTCTATTCATAATAGTTGAATAAGCCATTGTTTTTGTTGACATGACATTTTATTTTAAAATATTATTAAATAATTGTGACTGATATTTTATTAATCTTAATTATTGTAAATAAATAGCAATTAAAAGAGACTTTAGCTTGGACACTCCAGAAACTGTTTTATAATACATTTTGTGAGAAAATGCTTATCGAGTGGTAGTTTGTTGTTTTTAGTATTTTCAATTTTAATAAATATTTAACATTTTTTCTTTTAGTTCATATTTTACTATATTTATCTTTCAAGATCTTTTGAACATTTATTTCCATTTTAAAATATATTTTAAATAAAGAGAAGTTTTAATGTTTGAAAAAAAACTTAGGATTTAAACTAATGTCTTTAATCTTTTTTGAATGTTTTTAAAATTTCACCTTTCTATTATTTGAAGTATTAAAATAGATAAAGATAGTTATTTAGTTGATCTAAATTTTTTATATAATCTTGGTATCCTAAAACAATTATAAGTGAAAATAATTTCCGTTTTTAAGGATTTTGTTATAAGATTTACAGTTTAAAAAGGTGTAAATTGCTTGAGTAATTTGTTATTATTTTACTTAAGTAAAATAATATTTCATGATTTTTCTGAAAAAAAATCATTTTAAAGTTCTATAAACTAAACTAATTAAATATAAAGTGAATATATATATATATATATATATATATATATATATATATATATATATATATATATATATATATATATATATATATATATATATATATATAATATTTGTAAATATTGGTCCTACATCTATTTGTTTGTAAAATTTAAAAATAATATCAAATATATCAAAGTTATATATAAATTGTAGCAATAAAATTAACTGCAAAAAAGAACCCGTAAAATGGGTCATGTAAGCTAGGTATGTTTTTAATGTTAACTCTATTAAGCTTTAAAACTTTTGTTGTTACAACTTTCTCTATTAACAAAGAAAATAAGCACCATGTCTATATAATAAACAAAGTAATAAATTCTCAATACAAAAATTAAAATCTATATGTAAATGCCCATAAAAAAGAGTTTAGGTAAGTTTTTTTTATTTTTTTTTTTTATTTTTAAAAATAATTCAAATTAGACTTCTAGTTATACGAATTATAACATTCATTGTAACATGAATGAATTATAACATTGTAACAATGAATGAATTATAACATTCATTGTAACATTGATGAATTATAACATTGCAACAATGAATGAATTATAACATTGTAACAATGAATGAATTATAACATTGTAACAATGAATGAATTATAACATTGTAACAATCAATGAATTATAACATTGTAACAATGAATGAATAGCTTTTAGTTAATGGTTTACTAAAAGCTCTAAGATCTCTTTTTAAGTTTTCTGCTAAGTCATTAATGAATACTACAAATAAAATAGGCCTAATTATTGATCCTTATTAATTATTGATCCTAATTAATTATTGATCCTAACTATTGATTCTTATTTGCATAAGATATTATTAAATAGACATTACACTAAGTATTTACAGACTTAATTAAAGAAAGATTAATTAAAGAAAGACTAGACAGCGCAACGTAGCTCTATGTAAGTAACATTGCTTAGCACTATTTGCTGCCAAGTAACACCATAACCAAGTAATGCCACTTGGCTTGCAAGGATAACAATCTTCTCCGACACATTGTTAAGTAACACTATTTTTAAAACATAGAAAAAACAAAATACAATTATATAATCTATAAAACTTATAAACACATTATATAAACACATTATATAACACATAACACTTGTAAATACAGTATTCTTTGTTCAGTATTGTTAAATAACATAATATGTAATGCATGTTTATCACTTGCTTCAAATAACTTGAACTCTTTTCAAATATCTATTGTTGGCTTCAAACAAAACCATCTTTCTTTTTTTTTTCTTTTGGAAGTTACAAATGTCAAGGTTTTTGCCTTTTCAGGAATTTTTTCATTAAATTCAAAATTAATCTGATACTTATGTAAAGTTTTTGCTTGATTATATTTTTGGCATATTTAATTGTTGCTGACTTTGATGAGTGTTGGAAAACATCATCATTTTGTGATACATTGTAGTTTAAGTTTTGCAAATATCTTATGAAAAACACTAAATCTTTTTTACACTTTTTTTCATATTGTTTACTGAGTCAATCGAGCAACATTAGACTTTTCTTCATACTGCTCACTGAATCAATCGAGCAACATTTTACTTAAACTAGACTTTCTTATAAAATTTGAATGTTGTGCGCTTTTTGAATGTATGGTTTCAGTTTTTCCAATTTTTAATCAAGGAAACCAGTGAGTTCTATTTAGTTTTGATGTTAAGCGTTAGCATCAATTTTTTATTTCCTTATTTTCAAATTTCAATAATTTCTAAATTTAATTATTTTTATTATCTTTCTCAACCCTATGCTCTGAAACACCAATCTGGTGATCAGTTTTTCACCAATCTGAAATAGGAATCTTGTTAAACAAAGCTGCTGCATGAAGAAACAGGTACTTCCGAAGGCATAGAGTCCAAAAACAGGCATTTTAAATTAAACATTTCTTTAGGTATGTAAGATTTGTATTTTGGCATCTTTATTAACTTAATGAAATATCAACATTTTGGAAACCATCAAAAGCCAGTATTGTGGTTATAGTGTTGAAAAATTTCCGTTACCAAAAAATAGTATCACTAAAAATTTTTATATCCACATATATATATATATATTATATATATATATATATATATATATATATATATTTAAATAATTTAAAAAAATGTATTCTACAAAATAGAGTGCTCAATGTTCTTAAAAGAACAGAGCAATTATATATTAGTAGAAAATCACTTAACAAAAATTTTTCATTTTACACCGTGTTTCATCAACAAAGACTTGTCAGAAAGGAATGATAAAATTAATAAAACTTCAATTTATACCAAAAAATTAAATTACAAGAAGTCGCAAATGTTTTAACTACTGTAAATTTTCACACATTTGTGGAATTTGCTGACACTATTATATAAAGAATTCTTTAGAAATGATTGCTTATGCTTTTTTTTATAAAAATATTTTTAAAAAAGAGGGGATTTAATGTAACTATTATTTGAGCTCACTTATTTTTATAGTTTTTTAGGAGAAACTTATTTTCGTTCCTGCATTTTGAAATCAATTCCAATTTTTTGTTTAACAAACTTTCAAAAAAGAAAAACATAAATGACTGCTTTGATGTGACAATGGGCAGTTATGACAGAGCAGAAATTTGTGAGTTTGTTGGACTATACATTTTAGATTTATTAAGTAAAATACAAATAAAGTTAGCTACAGTTGCACAAAAAATATAGAAAGAATTATAAAAAGTCACAATAATGCTTTTTTAAATAAAAAAGAAATCCTAAATGAAAAAACTACAGAAAATTGTAATTGTAAACAAAAAAACAATTGTCCAATGAGTGGAAGTTGTTTATCAAAAAATATGGTATATAAATGTGTTGTTTCCTCTAAAAATGTACCCGATAAACAATATATTGGCATAACAGAGGGTAAATGGAAAAAACGTTTTGCCAATCGTAAGCAATCTTTTAAAAATAAAAAGTATTCAAAAGACACCATGCTGTCAAAATATATATGGGAACTAAAAGATAAAAATATTGATGATTTTATACTGAATTGGTCCATCATTAAAACAGTGCCTGCATACAACAATATTTCAAAAAAATGCATACTATGTCTACAAGAAAAATTTCAAATAATTACACATGCAAACCAAGAATGTTTGTTAAACAAAAAATCAGAATTGATTTCTAAATGAAGGAACGAAAATAAGTTTCTCCAAAAAAACTATAAAAATAAGTGAGTTCAAATAATAGTTACATTAAATCCCCTCTTTTTTAAAAATATTTTTATAAAAAAAGCATAAGTAATCATTTCTAATGAATTCTTTATATAATAGTGTCAGCAAATTCCACAAACGTGTGAAAATTTACAGTAGTTAAAACATTTGCGACTTCTTGTAATTTAATTTTTTGGTATAAATTGAAGTTTTATTAATTTGATCATTCATTTCTGATGAGTCTTTGTTGATGAAACACGGTGTAAAATGAAAAAAAATGTTCGTTAAGTGATTTTCTACTAATATATATATATATATATATATATATATATATATATATATATATATATATATATATATATATTTATATATATATATATATATATATATATATAATATATATATATATATATATATATATATATATATATATATATATATATATATATATATATATATATATAATATATATATATATATATATATACACACACACACACACTTACTTAAGCATATTTTTATAAGCATTTGCTCACTTTTTTTTGCTTATCTTTATCCATACGGTTTTTTTTTTGAAAAAGAAGAAAAAAAACAAAAAATGATGAATGAAATGATTGCTGCCCCCATCCCAAACCCTCAATCAATGTAGCAGCACTCCACTGCGAGTCAGGC